GTTGAGGCAGAGAAATACTGTTTCTGATTTAAGGTAATTGGACTTCAAACAAGTATATAAGTAAGGAACTTACTTTGTCACATTCCTGCTCTTGTCAGTGCATCTTTTGTGTATTAGCTAACAATAGTTTACTTACCTGTTCTTGCTGTTCTTGATGCTTTATGTATTGTTATCTTCCTGTTTCCTGGGATTTCAAAATGTAATTTCCTCTCCTTTGGTAGATGCAGTTGGTGTGATCTTTTAATCAGCCTGCCCTTTGTTCCTCTGGAAAAAAATTTGGTTGTTTACTGCTTTTTTTCAACACCAAAGTTAACCAGCAACAAGAGACACTGTCAAATTTTATTCTCCTACACACATGTTGTTCATGAAGAACCCCAAAGTGTGGTTCATGTTACGTTACCCACCATAAAGATATTGCCATTGGAGACATTGAGCGTTCAGCTGAAATGAAGCTTATTCATCAACCTAAGATAAATTTAGAAATTTGACACAAAAATCTAGTCCAATTCCAAATTCTATAATCCCCTGACTTACTTTTCTACCACTATTTAGTTGTTGAGCAGTATCTAGCATTATTTCTTTTCTTTTTTTTTTTCCTTTTTTCGATTTTGTCACAAACTTTGGAATATGCTGCTATTTGACTTGTCAAGTCCTATATTTAAGTGGAAAAAATCTAGCATGGTTATGGAAAGTTGTACTGAGTTTTCTTTGTAGCCTAGATATTTCTTGTAATTACTTCCAAGGAAGTTTAGCCAATTTCAGTTATAAGTTATAAAGACCTTAACCTCATGTCTGTGAAACAGAGAAGGGTTTCTGTCCAGATTGGACAACTCTGTTCGTGGTTCATCAAACAATCATCAGTCTGAATATGCTTCTTCTAGTGAGGTCCATACTAGAAATGGTCAATTAGAATCAGATGAGGAGCAAGAGGTGCTAGAGGACATCTATGATCTCTTTGAGCCGTCTGATGAGGAAAGTGAGAGGAATGATTTTCCCTCTATTGGTTACATAAATCAGCAGCATTCTGTTATCGAAGAAGCTAAAGGACATGGTGATGAAGGACAAGAGTTGTTAAACAATGTTGACTACATGCCTAGGGAACAAGGCGGGGAGAATGATGTTTCTGGGAACTTGAGGACTGATGTCCAAGCTAATCCATTGCTAAGTGAAACTTCAGAGATTGAAACCAGTGTGCATGATTATTTGGTAGATACTGATGAAATTGTTCAAGAACAAAATGCACCAAACAGTGGGGCAAGTGATGTACGCGAGATAACTGGTCAAGTGGAAGATAGGGAGCCCAATGCAGCTGAAGATTCCAATTGGCAAGAAACTTCAGCTCAAGTTGAAGAGGAGCAGGAATTGTTTTTGGATCATGAACAAATTGAATGGCAACAACCAACCAGTACTGAAGCCGATGAATGGGCACATGGTAATGAAGAAGGGCTTACTGAAACGTGGGAAGAAAACATTGCCCATCAGTGGGATCAGGAAAGACCAGATAATGATTTTAGAGATCACCATAATACTCAAGAACCAAATGAAGATTGGCATGATGATGGTTTACAAGAGGCTATAGATAGTTGGTTAGATGTGCCTTCAGGGCAGGGAGTCGGTGGTTCTAGTGGCAGGGTTGATGCATTTTATTTTCCAGAGGATGATAATGTTTACAGTATGGAGCTAAGAGAACTTCTTAGCAGGTGAGAGTCTCATTGACATTTAGGAAAATTCTTCAAAGTGATGGATTCTTAAAGGGTTCTTTCGTATTTATCTGTTTACTTCTGATTCAGGAGACGTGTCTCTAGTCTTCTTCGGAGCGGTTTCAGAGCAAGCCTTGACCAGCTGATACAGTCATACGTGGAACGTCAAGGCAATGCTTCTATGGACTGGGAGGCAGATGGAGCATCATCTTCACCTGCCTTCATTGAGCAAGATCAGGAACAGCAGAATGATGATCAGGTACAGGATGGTGTATTATCAGGTGGTGTTGATAGAACCTCAGCATCGGACACAGCCTCTCAGCCAGTCTGGGATCGGGATTTGCATAGACTAAATTGGTCTCACAACAGCCCTCATCATCAGTTAGGAATTGTGAGCGCACGCATCCCTCTGCTTGGTTCTTAAACTTGTCAACTTAGAGTTACAAGGTCCATTTGTTTAGTAACTGAACTCTTGTGGATATCATATTGATCTATTATGTGAATTGTATGCACTTGATGTCATTTTTTTCATCCGTTGCGGTTGTCATATCAGCCAGTACTCATGTACAGAATGCTTTTGGCTTGATCTTGTACATTTTTCCAGTTTATTACCATTCACATGCATGTGTGCACATCTAGCCTTAATAACATTTTTTATATCACAAAGTTAGTTCTTAAGACATGGAAAAGATGTACTGAATGCCGACATTTATGGGGTGCTAACACTGAAGATTTAACTTGCCCTGGAATCAGCTTGGTCTAACTTGAACCTATTTTTGCCCGTGTACAGCAGGAGTGGGAGATCATTAATGAATTGAGGCTTGACATGGTTAGGCTTCAACAGCGCATGGACAATATGCAGAGGATGCTAGAGGCATGCATGGATATGCAACTTGAACTGCAACGCTCAGTTCGGCAAGAAGTTTCTGCAGCTTTGAATAGGTCAGCTGTTTCAGCAGGTAAAGGATTTAGGTTAGAGATCATTAATGGTAACATCAGAGTGTGTGTGGTGTCTCTTGCTATCAAGTGTCCTGAGTTTTTAGTTTATTCCTTTACCTTCTCTTTATATGACAAATGTGGTTCAACGTTGCTGATTTCATTACGTGGAAGTAGATACTTGCAAGGATGCACAACATAAGGATGATTCCAAATGGGATTTTGTGAGGAAAGGAATTTGCTGCATGTGTTGTGAACAAAACATTGATTCCTTGCTGTACAGGTGACCCACCATGATCTCTGGGTGTTATTGCAGCATCTATTCAAATTAACCTCCAAATTAGTATTTGTATAATTTCATCTAGGATGATCTTCTGACAAAGATAGGAACTGTATTTTTCCTTTTGCATCCTGACACTTCTTTGCTTACTGAATCCATCCATATAGGTGCGGACACATGTGCACATGTTCAAGATGTGCAGAGAAATTGGTCCAGGGAAAAGAGAAGTGTCCAATGTGCCAGGCACCGGTGATTGAGATGGTCCGAGCATATTCTGTCCAGTAATGGAAGGAGTGCCAAATAAATGGAAAACCGAAGAAAAAAAAAATCTCAAGAATAAATAGAATGCAAATTGAAATAGGACATAATGCCAACAAGCTGTAGACTTTTCAATTTTCTTCTTCTTGTAGTCTCACCAGGTAAATCATCAATCCCATATATAGCAAGTCTATAACTTTTTCCTTCTTTTAGTTTGTTTAGCAGATGACTGAAGATGTATTTTGTACCCTGTCATTGTACAAACTAAAAATAAGCAAGAACAACTTGTTTGTCATTATTTCAGGTAGATGTTACCCCCAAAGGTGGACTTCGATCCAGTTGATACACCAGCCAACTAGTTTCTAGGGAGGAAAGTCATTGAGTTTTTGTGATGGCTTTATCAGTATTAAGTTATTTTGATGCTTGAAATAGGTGGCCTGTCCCAAAGTAGTTGCTGAAAGAAGCCTGACTTGACTTCCATGTTAATGATCTCATTGAGAACCCCAGATCGTACACCATTCAGCAGCAGTTTTATTAGTCTTGGTCATACCAGTAAAAGCAGAAACCTGGATCCTCCACCCTCATGCAGCTGTAGATTCATGGAGACTGTTTTCTGATGACTATTGCTGAATGGTTTACATTGTACCAGTATTCTAACACCCCAGAGACCAAAACTCTGGTTTGCTCTGTGTAATTGAATTATTTATTTGTTTGAATGAAGATGGCCATCATTTTGTTCTGTTTTCAGGAACCTTTGAGTACAGAATATTTTACATTCTGGTTGTTGATAACCACCAGAATAGTAGAGCTCCATAACCGGAAAAACTAGCTTTTCTTTTTAACCAAGATTAGGCTTCTCATTCAGATAACTTGGAACACAGTTGTGTATTCCAGGACAATTTCAAGAGGATTGGTATGACGTTTGCATCTAATAACAGAATCTTGTGGGCTGTGGATACCTTTTCATTTCCTCAATTATCTTGTTAGTTGCGTCTTGAACATGCCTGAGTGTAATGGTTACCCCAATTCATGCCTTTTCCTTGCCGTTGTTTGGTGAATGGAATTGTCTTGTTGTACGGTCTGTTTCAAGTGGTTGAAAATGAGCACCTGAATTTGAGGAACAATTGGTTAAGAGCTGATCTTCTTTTATGCTGAACAACTTTAGCTTTCACTACATTTTCTTCCCAACCAACTGTAAAGGGTTTTTTTTATCAATCGTCACTTTATCTATAATATTCTACATTATTCTAATCTAAGGAGGATTCAACTGAATCAGGTGGACCGATAGAGACTAAATCTCTAAGAAACCATTTAATGTGATAATTGGTGGAAGGCAGGTTTGAATGCACCTCAGAAACCTTTGCCTCCCACCCTCTAAGTCTCAAATGATTTAATGGTGGTTACTGGCCTTCGTTTGGATCTGCGATTTTACTGTTTACGTATGTTGCTCAAAAGGAAAAGGTCCATTCCCATTTGACTCGACTAGCAAATCCAATCTCGGTCATCTTGTAAAACCGAAGTATGGGTAAAAAAAAAAAAATTCCAACTTAATCACACTTTAAAGTTCACAAGACAAGATAGAAAAGTACAAATGCCACACTTGTTCATGTTAGAAATAATATACTAGTACTAGATTAGTAGTATGAATGAAACTAGGGACGAATTGATGTTGTTCAACAAAAAATTACCCTCAAAATTAAATGCTACTGAGACTGGAAGGAATAATTGAGTCTAGCAGCTACCATAGCACACCATTAGGCAATCAATCAAATCAGATTTCTGTAGAATTGGAGGCTCTATCCAGAATTCACCGCACAACGCTACTATAACAAAAATAAAATAACTAAGAACCCTTTGATACGCAATTAATGAAGTCATTTTTGAGTGTTATACAAGAAATTTACAAAAGAATAGCCTATTTTATTTTATTCCCTCCTCCCCCACCCCCCCTAGCAACCAAAAAAGAAGAGCCCTCCTTTTTCTCTATTTCCTCCTTTCCGATGTGTCTATCTATAATATCTACCTTTTACATCATCATCATCAAAAACTCATGCTTCTGTGCAAAACAAGTCGATCTCCCACGCTCGTGCAACTACAGACCCTTCTCATTCCAGGATTACTACACGTGTCACAATCATCAACCGTTGATCTTCCCCCCAGCTCACCCCCGCCATTACCACTCTCTTCCTCCTCCACATCCAATCGAACCTCCTGATGATCATCGACCACCTTAAGTAACTGAGTCGACCTGCACAGTGGACATGACAAGTGTGAAGCCAGCCACGTGTCGATGCACTCGGGGTGGAACACGTGCGCACAATGCGGGATTAATTTAACAATTTCCGTCTCCTCGAATTCACTCAAGCAGATTGGACAATCCGTGATCAGCTGCTTCGTGCCCCCACGGTAAGAAACAAGTGGCAATGACTTGACGGTGGCAGGATCCACGCCAGCGTTCTTCTGATTATGGCCATCACGCAACCGCGGAGGGTGTCTCCGGCGGCGGCTGATGTCGGTGGAGTCTTCTTCAGCAAAACGGCGGATGTAGATTGAGAAGAAGCCCATGAAGAAGAGCGCTGTTAGGAGGACTAAGATTGTTAAGGCCATTGATGAGTCGAACGGTGTAGTGGGGTGCCTGGGATTTCTTTTAACACTTGTTGCTTCTGAAGGAGAGCCGTTTATGGGTTCGAAGATGGGGTCTGGTGATAAGTCAGAGCCTTGTAAACCTCCTGATGCTACTGCAGGAACTTGCTGCAGTAGTATTCTTCCGTTCCGAGTAATATCCGGACTAGTTTTCTTCATGTTGTGATAAACGAAAAAAAACAGTCCTCCTTGTTTTTCTTATGGTTTTTGTGAAGTACCTGGTGAAATGGAAGATGGGATTTTTCGGAAAAGAGTGACAAGTGAAAGATAAGGATGGAGAGGATGGGATAAGGGTGGGTGGGTTTATGAGTTTCAGTGAAAGATTCTTTCTTGAGTTTTTAGTATGAGAGGGTAGTAGGACAAAAAATAAAAAAATCTTGGAGTACTTAATTTGATTTTGATGTGAGCTAGAGAGGAGGGAGAGGGAAGATGAAGGGTTTGGCGGATGCATGCATGGGGCCTACAAACAAGGGGTGGGGGCGTGGAGGCTATTAGCTATATCAAATATGTCTTGATCTTACTTGAATGTTGTGTATATGTGCAGAGAGAAGTGGCGTCTTTTGAGGTTTGGACAAAACTAGCAGCAGCAGCAGCAGCAGCAGCAGTTAGCGGATCACCGGCTCCAGGTTTTGGGGTTTTTTAAGATGATAGTAAAATCTTTTGTTCGTAATGGAGTGGGGTGAATTAGCAGTTATATATACTACGTGGGAGGAAGGAAAAAGAGGGGCAAGAGTTGTCCATGATTTCTTGTTTCTTGTCTTCCTACGTAGTACCAAGGAGTCTACTTGAATGTTTTGGCCAACCTTTCACAAACTAGTACGTATTTCTTTTATTTTTATTTATATGAATGAACTTCGAAAAGTCGTTGGTTCTCTTTCTACCAAAGAGGTAAGGAAGTTATCTAAGGGGACCGATGTGGGAAAAGTCGTTGGTTCTCTACGGAGTGAAAATTGTCTGTTGGAAGAAAATTTTGATTCGGACAAGATAGTACTATGTCTTCGTTAGCAAGTGCAAACTGGCTTTTGCAACTAAAATTGCAAGAAAAATTTGATTTGGATGAGATATATTCTGTAATTGTGATAGGAATTGTCACCGTTATGAATAGCTAGCTGTTTTGATAGCAACATGAAAGAAAACAACGCAATTTTCTTGTCCAAAACAAATTTACACTTCATTATTTTTGTTATTTGCACTCCCACCATTTGTTTTATTATATAATCTAATGAATAAAAATTATACGATTAAAATGATAACGAGCGTGTGATTAAGTTTTATTATCTAGCCTAATAAATAAAAATTATATGATTAAAATGATAGTCAAAATGTGATTAACAAAAACGGGAATGTAAATAATATTTTTCCTTATCTCATAGTAACATATAAACTTGACAAAATAGGCTTACCACTAGAATTCATGTCGAAAGAAGGCGGCCATTGTTGCTTAATCAAGGAGGAGGAAAAATTGGAATTTGAACTTCTACACCACGTGTGCTTTATTCACTGTTCATATTCGCTTCTAACTCCGCAGATAAATGAAGCGTTTAACTACACGTTGTTATTCTTGCATTTGTTTGTCTATTTTGCCAGGCTAGACAAAGATTATATGGCCTTGTTTGGCAGATAAGTTTTTTGCTAAGTTTATCTGCTACAAGTTTTTTAAAAAACTTTACCTACAGTAACCTCAAAAAACTTCTCAAAAATTTTAAACTATACACTTCAAAATATTCAGAAAAAACACACTTCAAAATTTTTTTAAAAAACTTCTACAGTAAGTTACAGTAAAGTTTTAGACAAACACCCAAAAAACTCACTTGCCAAAAGACATGTGCAAAGAGATGAAGAGGAACCTATTTATAACTTTTATTTTACCAATCCAAGTCCTAAATTACCATGGATTAGTCAATTGCTGAAAAATGGTACTTCAGGTTTGGGGTTAAAGAACTTTTACTCCATAAATGAACTTTATTTATTTTTTAATCGTCCATGGATTAGAAACTCTTCAAAGAACTTTCTAAAGCAATAAATTCAATCGATAAATTATTAGCAATTTTGAGTGTATGTGATGTTGCAATGGTCCAGCAGCCGTGTATGCAAGCCAAGCTGCCAAGGCACATGTGAACAATCAAAGATGATAAGAACGCGAGTCTGATGCCCTGAAAGTACAACTGTCCAAGCGGCCAGTACTGTTCCGGAATCAAGAAAATGAAGAGAAATAGTCACTGATTAAAAGATAGAGTAGCCACAGATTTGGCAATTTATGTGAAGAAAACTGATTAATTTTGTGACTACGACATGCGACCAAACTGTAAATAAATAAGCTAATGGTTTCACATATTGCTTTCTTATTTTTTTTCTCCGTTCTTTCTATCTGAAAAGTTCCACATCGTAGCTTGTTGTAAAGGGGTTTTGCAATTTTATCTCGCTCTTGTGTCGAACTGTCATGCAAAATTATTTTGATAGTTGAAGGCATTTCACTAACTCTATTTTGTTTTCATGGGCTCTTGGGTTGAATTCATTTGTTACCTTTGATTTCGCTTACTATTGATCCTCTAGGTTTTTTGTTTGTTTTTCTCTAATTTTAACGGTTCTTCAAACTATTTTGATCATGCATATGTCTATGGGATTACAATAATTCATCTGAATGGAAGATATATTAGAATTTATCTTATCGTTCTTTGTATTGATTTTTGAAACTTGTCGTGTCTATTAATTTCGGATTTATACGTATCCGTGTCATGTTTAATTAAATGTTTGCTATTTGTGCAAATTTATTGAACAAAATAATCTCTTTTCTATTGCCATAGTGGAAGGGCAATCGAAGGGGGCTCATGTTGGCCTATTGCCTTGAGAACTACGAAACGTCTATTGCAAGAAGCAATTCAAGAGCTGGCTCAACTGCTTAATTGCTAGCGGTGGCGCCTGCAGGATTTGATCTACAGATTTTGCTGATATACGTATTCTTCGAAACCGTCCGCAGGATGACCCATCACTGTCATCATCATACCCAAGGTGTTTGTGGGCTGAAAATTCCTGCAGGATACCGTATGCTTTCTTCTGAACGCTGAAGTCATATGGCACATGAACCTAGTTATGAACATGATAACGACTGCATTTGTAATACGTTCAGTTAGGGGAACCCCAAGCGTATATTTCTTGGCAAAATGTTCGTTGTTTCGAAATTGTTACTAGTTGATATAAGGAAGGGAAATAAAGGAAAAGTGGTTGAGGAAAGATGAACGGTTTTAAGATCTCAATAATTTAGTTGGGAAGTTCATTTACGAGTCATGATTCATCACAAAGTTTTAAAGAAATCATTATGGCATTGTTCTCAGTTGCTTCAAATTTTACAAAATAACTGATTATGGAGAATCAGAAGAATCAGTACAAACTACTCTAAGCGATTATAAATTTTTACTTTTTTGGTCATTAAAAAAATCTATAATCAGAATATAAAAGCAACAAAAAACGTCGAAAAAACTCAACAGAATCTATAACCAGTTAAAATAATCAATCAAAAAACAAGTCTTATACAGGCACTACGCTATTAGTGAGATCAATTAGTGAGACAAAAAATAAGCTGTAAGGTAGAAAAATAAACAGTAGTAGCGACACTCTATTTGGGCCTTTAGTAATTCCGCACGTACCAGTTTTTTCGTCCCTCACATTTCATATAATGAATTTTTTTCGTTCAACACATTTGACAAAATAAATTCTTCCATCTCTCACATTTTATAAAATAAATTTTTTCATCTCTCATTGATCATGTGCATGAATAACTCTTTTTTTAAAATCTGTGTATATATCTATTTGATTTCATTTGAACCGTACGAATAACATGTAATATATCTCTATTTGATTTCACCTACAACTATAATTAGCTTGTTCGGGTGAAATCAAATAGTGATGTATCGTGTATTCGTATAGTTTATATGAAATTAAATAGACATATATATACGGGTTAAAAAAAAGAGTTATTCGTACATATGATCAATAAAGGATAAAAAAATATATTATGTGAAATGTGAGGAATGAAATACATTTTGTAAAATGTGATAAATGAAAAAATTTATTTTGTGATTGCGAGAGACTATAGATCAAATTATGTGACATAAAAAATAAGCTGAAGGCAGAAAAATAAACAGGATTAGTGAGACTCTATTTGGGCCTTCGGTATTTCCACATGTACCAGTTTCTAATGCGACGAACAGCAATACGTGCATTTCGTGGTTTTGTCTTTGAGCGGCCCAATTATGGAAATAACTTATTTCCTCGCTCTTTTCTTTTCTTGCCATTTTGCACGTCCGCCATTATTTCCTCGCTCTTTTCTTGCTATTATAGAAATAACTTATTTCCTCGCATTTCATGGTTTTGTCTCTCTTTTTTTTTATTCTTAATTTATGAATTCCTGTTCATTACTTTTTGCAAGACAAGTTATTCCGGGTTTCAAATTATGGGTTTCAAATTTTTAATGGACGTTAGTCCGGATAAGTTGTAGAATTGGGAATACTCAAATTTTTGCAATTGGAATAACCCTAAAATCCTGCAGGCTGCAAACCAAAAAAAAAAAAAATGCAATTTGTTCTTGAAGGAAAGCTCATTCTATATTATCAGTAGTACGTGTCTTGACCAAATAACTTCAGCTGAAGTCTGAAAATGACTAAATTTGTAGATCAATACTTCCCACAGCACCAAAGTCGTGAGAAATACTAATGAGATATCAACGCATATGCAGAATGTCCCCACCGGCGAGGCTGCAAACAGAAAACTCTACTTGTAAACTTGCATAAGACATGAATATAGATTTCTTGGAAAATGATATTAACACTCCTAAAAAAAACTTAAACTTGGGAAAAGAATGCTAGAGGTTTTTTTATGAAGAAGAAAATTAATGTCTTTCCCATTCTTAACATGGCAACACAGTAGGGTATAAACCAAATCAACAAATGCATAAACCTGAGTTTTCGGGCTCGAACCGGATGTCTACTCTGGCTGACCTCTGTCAATGAATTCGAACGAATTCGACCGGGGATGGGAGCACAGCTAAAAGAAATTTCAGGCACTCCTTAAACTTGGATTGGGAAAAGAGTGCTTGAGGGTTTTTTAAGGAGTATAAATATCATTCCCATTTTGTCAGCAGTAGGCTATAAACCATAAACCAAATCAACAGAATGCATAAACTAAAACTTCATATTGCATCCAGCGAACCAACGGGCAACAGCCAGATTGCATGTAACATGCTTCATGTTCACAAAATTTGGCAATATAACATGCTTCAGATGACAGCAAAAAAAGGCACATTGCATGTTGTACATGTATCCCTTGTCAGATCCTAACCTAATTTACATAACTATAAATCCTCCTAGAATTCAAATTAAACACAAACTAAGGCAATTTAATGTGGAAAATGCAACTAACTAGTTGGCCCTAGGACTTTGATTTCTTGGACTGCCCACTGACACTGGAGGCATAAGTTCTAACAGCCTTAGAACCCTCAGCAATTGCATGCTTCCCAAGTTCACCAGGCAAAACCAACTTCACAGCATCCTGGATTTCCCATGATGAGAGGGTCCTCTTCCCACTGTACCTAGAAAGCCTTGAAGCCTCCTCAGCAATCCTCTCAAACATGTCACTCATCAGATTATTAACAATGGTCATAGCCTTTGATGATATAGCACATTCAGGATGAACTTGCTTCATCACCCTAAACACGTGTCTTTTGTATCCCACACTAGTACCCCCATCACTCCCCATTTTGGCTCTCTTCCTCCTCCTCTGGGTAGCAGCAGCCTTCTTCTCCTTTTTCCCATTAGCACTATCTTCTATACCTGGGCTTGTCTTCCTTTTCTTGGTTCGCTCTCTTGCTGGTGGTGTTGGAGCTAAAGCCACATCTGGCTGCATTTCTTCTTCATCTCCTTGCTGCTGCTGCTCTTGTTCCTTATTTGATGGGGCTTCAGATTGTGGTGGTGGAGTAGGAATAGTGGTGATCTCTGATTCTGAGGCTGATACAAATATTTCTTCTTGTCTGTCTCTCTTCTCTTCCTCTCCTTCATCTACATCTTTATCTATCTTCTGCAGCTCTACTGCATCTTTATCTACATCTGCTTCTTCATCTTCCATGTGCAGCTCTTCTTCACCTACACCTACTTCTTCCTTCTGCAGCTCTTGTTCATCTACATCTTTATCATCCTCCTGCAGCTCTTCTTCACCTACATCAACATCTTCCTTCAGTAACTCTTGTTGTTCATCCTCCTGCAGCTCTTCTTCACCGACACCTACATCTTCCTGCCTTGGCTGACGTTCTTGATCATCCCTTTGCTGCTCTATGTTAGGCGCTGCTTCATAATATGGTGGTGGGGTGGGAGGAGTCTCAGGCTCTGAGGCTTGTTGAGTTTCATCTTGATCATCTCCTTGCTGCTTTTCTTGGCCCTTCGGGACAGCTTCATGGGCCTTTTCCTGCTCTTCTAGGTCTTTAGGGACAGCTTCTTGACCCTTTTGCTGCTGCTCCTGAGCTGGCTGCTGCTCTTCTTGTTCTGCTCCTTTTGCTCTGTCTTCAACAACAATGGTCCTCCGAACAGGCTCTTTCAGAGGTGAAGAGATAACTTCAATTTTCTCATTCTCTTTCGTGGATGAAGCAACAACCGCTACTACTCTCTCATCATTATTCTCACAATTAGTCTCCAATTCAGTAGGCTTTGGAGAAATCACACTTGCACGGTTTCTTCTATAACTTTTTTAGTCACCACTGTGCCAAACAACTTGCCTGAACGTGTCTTAGGTGCCATATTTTTCTTAGCTTCCTTCTCAGAGAATCAAACTTCAGCAGAGAACTAAAAATTTCCCTCTTTGAAGCTGTTTAAAATTTATGGCCTGATCTTGCCAATTAACAAATTATATTGAGACTGAAAAGGTCTGTGCCTTTTCTGGGATGCATCAAAATTTGTGTTGGAAGATTTGAGAAGGTGGCACATTGGGCAACAGGTGTCGAGTGATTTTGAGTTAAACGGCTACGTGGGTTAAAAGTAAAGGGCGAGAGGTTTCTGGACATTCGAAATGTAGTAAAAATTTTACGACAATACATAGTACTGTAGCATAGAATAAATGACGGTAGATTTTATTTTTTATTTTTTGTCAGATACGATAGACCTTCAAGAAGACTGAATCATCACCGATCCAAACAAGTGTTTATACACCATCTGGCGAAATATTCCAAGAAACCCTATGGAGAGGGAGGTGACCCAACGGGGCCAAGGAAGAATCTCTATCGGTGGGGGGTGACCCTATAGGGATGGGGGAATCCAATCCGGACCGGTGTGTAGGGGATGATCCAACGGAGCCAAGGAGGGAATTGAGGGTGACCCTATGTGGAGGGAAACATTCCAGGAAATCCGATGGGAGGCCAAGGGGGGAATCCGGGGGTGACCCTATGGGGAGGGAAACATCCCAGGAAACCCTATGAGGAGGGAGGTGATCCTACAAGGCTAAGAGGGGAATCCCTATCGGGAGGGGGGAATCCGATCTACACGGGTGCGTCGCGGGGTAATCCAACGGAGCCAAGAGGAGAATTTGGGGGTGACCCTATGGGGGAGGTGATCCAACGAGGCCAAGGGGGGAATCCCTATGGGGAGGGAGGACTCCGGTCCAAACGGATATGTAGGGGATGACTCAACGGGGCCAAAAGGAAAATCCGAGGAGGGAATTCGGTCCAGACGAGTGCGTAGGAGATGACCCAACAAGGCCAAAAGGGGAATTCGGGGGTGACCCTATGGGGAGAGGCGGTCCAAACGAGTGTGTAGGGGTGGTCCAAACGGGTGCCTATGCACTTGCCGGTGAAACATTAAAACTCTAGATTTTGTACGTAAGGGGTTATCCAACAGGGCCAAGAGAGAAATCCAGGGGGTGACCCTATGGGGAGGGGCGATCCAGACAAGGGCATAGGAGCAGTCCTAATGAGTGCCTACGCTACGCATCCGTTGGAAAAATATTGAAACTCTAGATTTTTAGAATGCAGGTCACGATATTAGATTTCTTAACTTATATTCAAATACAATTTTAAAACTCTTTTAGTGATCAGCTACTCTAAAAAGTAGTTGGTTAACGGTAGATTTTATTCATCCAATTTTATTCCGCTAACTAGTACCATTTGATTTCGGTTTTGAGAGCTGCTGGTACTTTCTTGGCTGAGAAAAGAAAAAGGGAAAAGAAAACACAGAAACAAAGCCTTGAGTCGTTTGTTGGTTAACTCATCTAGTACAGCTGAAAACTTCTACTATTTGTCTGATGTTTTCTGCTACTCGACAGCGATATGGTTTAGAGACAAGTGTCAGAATTAAAAACCTTTTAGAGTTTCGAAGTAAAGATTGTTCTGGTGATTTGTGGGATGTCCTTGTATTTGCAGCAGCTAAACTAATTTGTGATTTAAACATTTTACCTAATTATTACCACCGTCTCTCGACATTATCAACTGACCATCATATACAGAAACAGTACAGTGTATGAGCTAGAAATATTATGTGGCAAATACCCGGAGTCCATTTGAATTGTTATTTTTTTTAGATTTTTTATAGAAAAATGTATTGTAAGGATTTGATATATGGGAGTTAAAAGTAAAATTTTTTTGAGAAAAAATAACAATTCAAACAAGATAAAAATTTTTACCTTTAACTCACATACATCAAATTATTACAACACATTTTCCTATAAAATTTCAGAAAATATCAATCCAAACGATTTCTAAGTATTTGCCGCATAATATCTCTCTCTATATCAATGGCGATAATTCTTGACTTCTTGACAAAAATTGTTACAACACATTTCTCCAATACAAATTAAGATAACTTGTGTTTAAAATGCTTACCCATGGTTTTCATGCACATACGAAAACTTCTAACTGGAAATCTATAATTTCATCAAGCCCTCCGTTTTGTTGTACAATGGGGATCCAAAAGTTCCAAGTTCTCGCTCTGCATATGAATTTTGAGAACAGCAACGGATGAATTAAAAGTTAAAATACATTGACCATACTGCGTTATGTGAATCACAAACCATGGGGTGGGAAGGACGTGGGGAGAAAGGGTGTAAAAAGAAAGAAAAAAAAACCACAAACCATGAAATAGGATTCTACTATCCTGGTAAAATATAGTAAGACTCGTATTCACGAGTTACTTCAACAGTTCAACTTTTGCAGTATTCATAGGGAAAAATGGTAGGTCTGATTAGATATAGTGTGGACAAAAACTAATTAATTCATATATAACAAAAACTAATTAATTCATATATTGTCCCTTGGCTCATGTCTAGAAGACGACATGGAACAACTCTTGTAAGGAGGAAATGCCGATTTGAAATATTTGGCGTGGCTTCTTGAATGCATACAGTATTATTGATTTGGACAGGATGCGAACGAGAGAAGGAATGGCAACAACCAGCATACATATTTCACTCAACATACAAAAAATGGAAAAAAGAAAACCATGAAAGACATATATTTGTCTCCTATACTATTCTTATAATCCTTGCATTTATGGCTTTGGCAATCTTCTTCCGGAGTGAAACCCGGCTGCCGCGGGGGAATTCTTGGAAGACGACGGTTGTGGGCCTGTGACATCCAAAGCTTGTTCTCGTCTAGAGAAAGGTGGCTGAATTTTATTTGAAATTTAACTGATAGGGTTGGAAGAAATAGTAGCGTGGTGTAATATTTTTTTTGACTTGTTAATTTGATGCATTTAGCGTTTAGGACTGTAACAACTCTTTATCAGATGCATGCTAAATGAGCGAAAAGTACATTTGGGCTCGAAATGTTCTTGAAAAATTTGCCAAAGCTTCATCCGACCATTTTCTTGATAACTTGTCTAATTCATTGATTTTTCAACAATTTTACCCTTCAATATTCTTCTAAGCTAAAAATTTGCACTGTAGTTTTACTTTCTTGTTTAAGTTATCTAACTCTGATCTACGAATATGAGCAATAAATATTTGCTCAAACCATGTTTTATGTTTACGAAGATTCAAAGTTCAAACTTCACCAAAATCGTCACGCTAAGTGCTTGCAATGAAGCATGAATGTATTTGAAAGAAAAAAGGAAGAGGTGTGTTCATAAATCGGTGAGGTAATATAGAGTTTTTGACTAAGTAAATTCTAAAATCAAATCCATTCAAAATGGATGTGAATAAGGTGTATATTTATCTCCATCAGAGAATATTACTAGTTCACCTTTTTAATCGTATGAGGAATAAAGCATGAATTCATCATCACGAATGGAAGCGAATCAAGCATCTACTTTGAAAATTAAGCGAATCAAGCATTTCAACTTTTGCCAGACTTGGGTGTTTTGTCATGATATTCAAGGACTAATGGCTTAGACCAAATGTTGGTGCAAAGAATTAATGAATACGTGAGAGGGAATATAGGTAAGAGGTCTCGAACACCTCTCACTTGTACTAGAAAAAAAGAATTTATCATCAATTGCTGTTGAAAATTTTATGATTGAAATTTGTCAATATTGTTCTGAATGCTCATTCCCGCACCATTATTGGTCCACAACGGATCTTCTGTCCCACACCCTGTGCCACTCTCTGTACCACTTTTTATTATATTGCTATTTTTCCTACATAAATTGGCGCATGCATGTATAGGCATGTATTCACCAATTTGTGAAACTTTAGGTCCCGTTTGGATTTTACTTTTTAGAGTTTTTATAAAAAAAATATGTTATACCAATTTAATATATGTGAAATAAAAAAAAATTAAAAATATATTCATAAAAATGTAAAAATTTACTTTAAAAAATAGCAATCCAAACATTGCCTTACATAGACAAATTGGTACGCCTCAGGATCCAATGCTCAACATTCATGTCTATTGTTTTAAGAGGGCAGGGACATTGAAAAGATGCCATTGTCCCAACCATCACTAGCCAGCAGAACCACTATAGCTTTCGTCACACAGAACTACTTATTGCCCTATGCTTTTGTCTTTTAAAACCAAGTTCTGTATCTGTGGCAGTAGATATGGATCCTATCTTGACAGGTGAATGTACCACAGCCATGCAAATGAACACAGTGAACACTGAAATGGAAACGCGACAACAAAGAAAAACACCAGAGTTTACTACAGGTCAAATTGTCATCCTTTCACCCCGCAAGTTGCACGACTTTGCTCTACATTCAAATATTCTCTCCAGCTTTTACTAAATTTTTTTTCAGGTCTGGAGACTAATCCCCCAAGTTAGGCAAAGTTTTGTTCCAAAGATACTCAATAATAGTAACACGTAAGGGTCAAATTTGGAATCTTACTGTAACTACAGACGATCAATCCCAATCGAGCTACCCACGGGGCTCCAGCTTTTACTAATAAGTAATTTTCTTGTAGCTGGGTGGAGTCTCCTTTGCCCTTACAGTAGTTTAATATAGGTAGTCTTTCTCGGTAAAAAAAAAAGGGTAAACAGATGAATCAAAACATGACAGATTTTCGTATTTCAATGTATGTATATACAAATATCCAATACTCTTACTGGTCACAAAAAAGAAAAAAGAAAGTTTAATTTGAGAATGTAGTGCACTATGGACAACATGAATTTACCTGGACATTGATACCATATTTTATTATTAAGGACCCGTAAGCGAAATGTTAAAGTCTCTAAGTGACCATTCCCAAAGTCAAACTCAGACTAATTCTAAGCCTTGAAAGTCAAAGGACCTTTGTGAAAGGCGAAGCACAAGAACCGGTTTTGCCTAGGGAAGAATCTTGAGACCTGAAATAAACTCTTCATAGTCTTATAATTTCTTAGGTATTGAATCATTACTCAAGGGGTTAGAGTCCCAAACTCAGGAGAAAGAGCACCGTCATGTTCAAATTAAGTATACCATTCTCCTAGGATGCCATGAATCCACAGCTCTAGACATCTTGATCTGGATAGATGTATCTATTACCAAGGAAACATGCATGTACAGGTATGGGAAAGACAGAGCTGGGTAAATTCGTGGGTCTTCTTACAATAATGAAGCAAAAAATATTTAAGTGTACTACATGGAATCTTTGAAAATCGAGGCAGGGTACCCTAAGCCCACCACC